GTTCTGAAGAGGCAAGGCGCGGCCTCACAGGTGAGGTCGATTGGTAACTCACAGCACCTGGTGGCAAGAGCCAGGAAGGTATTTAAGGTCAGCATTTCCCTTCTACTCTTTGCCACAGCAACACGTTCCCTGCCTTGCTGAGTTTGGCTCCTTGACTCTTTGCTTCTTGATCCTCAGACCCCTGACTTTGTGACTCCTTGCATCCTGACCCTCAGACCCTTGGCTTCCTGACTCCTGGACTCCTGTTCCTGCTCCCAACTTGCCATCTTGCCCCCGGTCCCGACGTCCCCAGCTGGGACTTTGATCACCCGTGAACCGGACCATGACAGCTGGTAGGTGGTGGGGTTTAAACTAAATAGTAAAAAGACTAAACTTATGGCTGAGAACTTCATGGCTCAAGAGAAAGAAGAAATTGAGAGGACAACATAGTTGAGGTTCTGTCAAAAAATAAAATATCTTGGAATATGGCCAACATCAAAAAACATTAATCTTTATCAAGACTATATTAACACATGGTCCAAAGTTAAAAGGAATATGGAGATTTGGAGTAGACTAAATTTGTCTTTTTGGGGACATGTATCAGTTATAAAAATGAATATCTTGCCAAAGCTACTATTTCTGTTTCAAACCATTCCAATTATCGGGTGCACAGGCTGTATAATAAAATGGCAGAAGGAAATTTCTAAGTTTATTTGGCAGGGGTGCAGACCGAGGATAAGACACACTTTACTTATTGATATCAAGGAGAGAGGGGGATTCGGCCTACCTGATTTAAAACACTATTATGAAGCAGCATGCCTCTCTTGGATAAAAGATTGGTGTCAACGTAAGAATACAGATGTACTGGATCTTGAGGGGCATGATCTTCGCTTCAGTTGGCATGCCTACTTAAATTACAACAAGTCAAAAGTACATAAGAGCTTTACCAACCGCATAAGAAGAAATTTGTTGTTTGGGCAAAATATATGGGCAAAATATAAAGCCCTGTTGGAACCAAAAACTCCATGCTGGATTTCTTCTTTAGAGGCCATGGTAGTTAAAAAGAAAAATATGAAAGGAAATTGGCTCACTTATAATTTGTTATTAATTCAAGATGGTAACCAAATAAAATTAAAGAGAGATGAAGAAATAAAAGATCAATTATCAGGATGGCTAGAATATCACCAGCTCTTTGAGACATTCAAACAAGACAAAAAAATGGATTCAACAATGAGCCCTCAAAATTAGAAAAAGAATTGTTAAATAATACCAAAATTATTTCCAGAATGTACAGAGGTGAAGGTGGTAATGATTAAATGGGCGCAAGACATCGGATGTACCATCATGATGAGTGAATGGGAAACTCTGGAAAACTAACATGAATTTTATGGCATGTTATACAATTAAAGAAAATATTATGAAAATGCAGTTCCGATGGTAGCTTACACCATCAAAACTCTCCAAGATGTATAAAAATATTTCAGACAAATGTTGGTGGTGTGGAGAAACAAAAGGAGATATGTACCATATGTGGTGGACATGCCGAAAAAATTAAGAGTTCTGGAACCTCATTTATGATGAGATGAAAACTCTTTAAATTAACATTCTCAAAGAAGCCAGAAGCACTTGGAATTCTAGGCAGTGATATCCCGAAAAAATAAGAGAAATATTTTTATATGTGACAGCCGCTGTCCGGTTATTAATTGCATTGAACTGGAAAGGGGGGAAAGTACCAACAGTAAGGGAATGGCAAAATAAGTTCTTAGACTATGCAGAAATGGCTCAATTGACAAATACAATTTGTCAATTGACAAATACAAAGCAATCATTCACGCAAAAATGGGATGTGTTTAAGAAATACCTACAAAAATATAATAATGACATAACATCTATGGCAGCGTTTGAATGACCCTTGTGTAAATTAAATACTAAATAAGGAAAAATGGTACAATATGTTATAAAAGTATTAGAAAATATAGTAAGAGTAAGGTAAGAAGTATAAGTACATTCTATGTTGTAAATGTAACTTACATTGGGAAATGATGGGAACTCTGTTTTGACATAATTTAGTTTATTGGATTTTTACTTTGGTTTATTTTTGTTTAGTTAGAAAGTATAAGAAAAGAGCATGTATAAGTACAAGCTTAAATCAATATTTAACTGTATAATTATTTAAGGTTGTTATTATTATTATTATTATTATTATTTATTTATTTATTTATTTATTTATTTATTTATTTATGCTATCCTTGGATGTTAATTAATAATAAAATTTTAATAGAGAAAAGAGAAAAGATGGCTGGTGGACGTAACCTTTTTATGATGGTTATTGCCTTTCAAAACTGGAGCCCCTGTTACGATGTATTCTAAAATCAGTTTGCAGGGATGGAGTATGACCTGCTTCCTGAGCCAATTACTTGTGTTATGAAAGAGCAAAGGCCATATTCCCCAACATCCATCTTAATGCTTCCTCAAGATGACACAGAGCACACCTTTGCTTTCATTGTTATGAAACCTGTGCTGCCCTTTATAATGAGTTTTGCAAAGGACCCTGTTTTCCCATTTTGTGGGGTGCATATTTGAGAATGGTTATCATGGTGGCTCACCCCCATACACGGGAATTGTAGAATTGGCTGTGCATAGTTAAATTATGACTTTCACTCATTCAGCTTTATGCAAAAGGGGGGGGGGGGACTGAAGCAAAGAAGGAAGGGTGGAGAAGCATTAGGACTTGCAGGGACACATCAAAACATTAAATGTACAGTGACACCTGATTATTGTGCAAAAGATGAAAAACATGAACATGCTACTATGGGTTAAAAAGCTTGGATGGTAGAAACCAGAACTTTTTGATGACAGTTTTGATGTAAAGCCAGAATCAGCAAGCAAGCAGGAAACCCCACCTCTTTGTTGTGCAGCTCATTTGCAAGGCACATGAAAGTCTGAGAGAAAGCAATCATTTGACCCTTGGCAAGATAGTTTGATGCCAAATCCTTAAAAAAGGGGAGGGGCGTCAGACCCAAGAGGATATAAAAACAAACTTTTTTGTGAAGGAAGTAGACCCAGTCTGACTGCAAATATCTATTTTCTGTGTGTGGGCATAGCAAACTTGTTCAACTCTCGCATTTACTGGCATAGAGAATTTGTTCTGAACATTAAGTGGGTTTGGGTTTGACAATACTTTTTTGGTTGTATTTAGCCATCCATCTAAAGAGTAACACACCAAGATCACAATCATTTTGAATTGGCCTGTAAGCTCAGTTTAAGTACAAAAAAGTTGCATGTAATGCAAAATAAAAGCATTAGCTGCTAAAACCTGACAGCACACAAACTTTTTATATATTTTTTATTTGCTAAGCAGCTAAAATGGGGGGAGAGTAGCTTGCTAAGTTTCTGAACAGTCAAAATCCTTAGCATTTTATTAACATGCGCTTTGTGTACTTTGATTTGAGACCATTAAGTAAACAGAAGAATCTTTGAAGGATGATTGTAGAAATAGAATGAGGCTCAGGATTTAACAGGAGAGTCTTCATTGAAGATTACAAAAAAAAAAAATGCTTTGGAAATTTTGCATTTCAATATCAATATGGCACCCGGCACAAAATACAAGGGGTGGGGGAGAGAGAGAGAGAGAGAGAGAGAGAAGTATAATGCTGAATGGAGAGATAAAGTTACTATTCTGTTCTGGCATTGGGTGGTAATCTTATTACTGAATTAATGAAGCAAAATGTGATGAAGTAACCGGATGTCTCCCAGTTATTTGAATTGCTGCAGGAATCATTATTACTCTTTATGGAGAAGGGGGGGAAAGCCACAGTAGGATAATAATTTCATTAGGACCAAATGAAATGTCACTGAGTATGGAATGACTGCATTTGAGTTTTCCAGAACTCTTATTTAAGATGGATGTTGTGCAAAACAACAAGGTGTGGAGACAGAAATTTGAAACGGAAGCCCAGACATCTGAAGTTTGTAGCAGTATGGCTGAATGAAGACACCAATTTCCTTTACAACTCAGGTTCATTGCAGAGCTGTTTCAATTCTTCTGCACTTCCAACAGAAACTATGTTATCATGTTGCTGTCTACTGTAGCAGAATTTTGTGCAATTAATTACATTATCATTACCAGCAGCCCCCCATTTATATGCATTCAATAGATGTGTGACTGTGCATCCGTGCATCATGCTGAATCTGGAAGTAACTCAAAAATGTCACAGGGTGAGGGTAGAACAGGGTGTTTACAGGCTTTTTCAATGGTGTTTCAAATATATGCAATGTCACTTAATCTGGATGCAATCCCCTTATTCCATACCATTATAATGCGAAGGGTATTCATTTCAGTGCAAAGGAAACTCAATGCAACTGCGGTAGGTGGAGGAACCATCAATTACGCTTTGTTTGCAGACTTTAAACTACAGTGAATACTGGTCATATTGACTTCCAGTCCAGACATGGCACGAATGCTCTCATTTCTGTAAGAATTCTCTGTCACCTTTAGAGTAATAGTCTTTAAAAGGAGATGTTGAGAAGATATACATCACAATCCTAGGCATTTTTACTCAAAAGTAAATCCTGTATTTTAGATGAATGAATCCAACAATTCGGTTTCTCTTGTTCTTAACAATCTTAATTAATATATTTCCAAGCCAGTTTGCAAACCTTTTTGTTAAAAAGGGGCCTCTCGGGGTTTTAGTGGTGCATTTCTCCTGATAGATACATTTCTATACATTTTGCATTGTATTATTTCTTACTGTTTTATTTCTTACATTTTTACATTGTGTTTTATTGTACTACAATTTTATGCAATTCAAATTGTAATACAATATATAATAAATAAAAGAAGCGTTAACATTAAAAATCACACAGCATCTAGCACAGCTTATTACAACATGCAACAGAATCTGCAAAGACCCTCAGCAAGTTTTAAGTGGTCTATGCTGGGGAGAGTTTGGGAACCACTGAGCTACACTGATGGGCAGCAACTACCCAGAGTTTCGGCAGCAGACTGTCCCAGCCCTGCCAGGAGATGCCAAGGATGGAACCTGGGGCCTTCTGCCTGCCAAACAGGTGCTCCACTATTAAGCTACACCCCTTGCCTCACACACTAGTTCAAGATCACCAAGCAAGCTTCATGGCTGAGTGGAGATTTGAAAATAAGGGAGCAATCCTATGTGCAAGAAGCCAGCATTAAGAAAGCCTGGTGCAAGTAAAGCCAGCATAAAGTTGCAAAAGGTCCAATCCTGATTCAAGAGTGGGGCTCCTGCTGCTACTCCGCCTAAGCCTGGCAGAGGAAAAACAAGCCTTTAAAAAACAGTGTGTTGACATCCACGTCACGTGACTGAGCTGAAACTGGCTTGAGATCCATCCTAAGTCTCCCTTCTCTGGCCCCACCCCACGTCTCTTTTTGGGGATTAAAACCACCCTTGGCTCAGTCAGCTTCAGCTCAGAAGGCTGAGCCCTGGCTGAGCTGGGATGAGCAAATGAAGCCACTGAACACAGGCATGCCTCCAGCTGAGCTGTTGTTGTTGGGGACTTAACCCCAGTTGAGTCAGGAATCAGCCCGCTGAGACAGAGATCCACTGCATCATAAGCTGCTCATCCTGGAAGTTCTTGGCAAAGCATTGCCCACTAATACACAGGTTTTCTAACCATGGTTAGGGAGCATCCGGTCCAAGGGCTGAATGTGTTCCACAAGGCCTCTTTATCCAGACCAGAGCACATCCCCTCAAGAGCAAACACTCCTTCCCACCAGTCCTGCTTTGGGCTAGAATGGGTATTTAGGCTCTGATCATATGTCTTGTGGCCTAGATGGATAGCAGAGAGAGATGTGTGTGAAGAAATAAGCCTAAAGTAAAGGGGCAGATGGGGCTCATCCACCTGAAAAGGGAGCCCATCTAGGAGAAGGAAAACTCTGATCATAAACCTCCACTGCCTTGTGGGATATATTCAGGAGAAGAAAAAGCCAAGGAGTAAACCCTACACAAATCCAGTGTGGAGTCCCTAAGATGGTTGGATTGTGCCTTATATGTCACCTTCTGGCAACTTCTGTTGCCAAGCTGGTGCCAAACGTATTGCTCTGCTTTCCTTTGGACCATATCAGAAAGACCAAGAGAGGGGGATCTTGTTGTCTGGGCAGCCCACAACCTCCATACACACTGCTCAGGCTTGCACACTAGGGAGGTCACTTCAGCGCTGCTAATACAGCAGTTTGACTTCAGATGGATGCCAACAGCAACAAAGCTTTTTTTAAAAAATCATTTGTTGCTCCACCTACTTTTGCTTTTGGCTCCACCCACCACTGCCATGTGGCTCCTGGAAGGTGACCTAGAAAGAAATGTTGCTCGTGGCCTGAAAAGGATTTCCCCACGCTTGCTTTAATCCTAGGTTAATGACCTGTGACCACCCAGACATTGCTGGACCACAATTCCCATCATCCCTGCCTTTTGACCATACTAGCTGATGGGAGTTAGGAATTGAAGTGCATCTGGAGAGCCGCAAGCTCTGACCGCTACCCTGCAGTAACTCCCACACCTTGCAATTTGTTTTGGTATCTGTGCTGACATCCCATTGCACTTGTCTTTTCTTCCTTCTGCACACGCACACGCGCACACACACTGCACCCGGCGTTAATCTGAGAGTAAACAGAAATAGCATTTGCTGTGCCATGACAGGTACATAGCAAGGCTTTATTTTGTACAGCTGCCTATGGAAATGTAAGTCTGTAGAATTCACCTTGTTCTAACAGCTAGCTTTCTCATAAACAATGCCATCCCTCTGATTAGGTGGGAATCCTTACAGTGTTTCTTTAGAGGAAGGTGTCAGTGAGCTGAAGTGCGTTGGAGCGAGTGAAGTACATGCAGGATGGTGTTTGGCACAGGCAAGCATACTGGCAGGAGGTAGGCTGGTGTGCCTTTGTTCCCTATTGGACTGGCACAGTGTATAGCCTCTCAATTCATTTAGCACCATAGTACAGTTGTACCTTGGTACTCAAACGCCTTGGCTCCCGAACAAAGTGGCTCCCGAATGCCGCAAACCCAGAAGTACCGTAAGTGTTCCAGTTTGCGATCATTTATCAGAAGCCAAACTTCCGGTGCAGCTTCCAATTGAGTGCGGGAAGCTTCTGCAGCTCCTGCAGCCAATCGGAAGCAGTGCCTTAATTTTCAAATGGTTTCAGGAGTCGAACTGACTCCTGGAATGGATTAAGTTCGAGAACCAAGGTACCACTGTACTATTCTGACTCAAGAGAAATAAGTTCCCAGTTGCAAGGAACTTACAATCTGCACTTCAACTGTGCTTGCTTCCATGCTTGACTTTTTTATCTGGACTTGCCATCCTCTGCTTACTCAGAATGAGGGGTGTCAGAGAATTCCGATGAAAACAAAAGTGAGAGCCAAATTTGCCAACATTTGCTTATCCGCCCCATGTTCAGAACAGAAATCAATCCAGACTATATCATTGGCATTTGCTGCCATTGTAGCTTTCAGCCCACAAATGATATGCAGTTGCTGACAGTTGCATTGTGTTCCCTTTGCACTGAAATGAATGGGGTGGAATAACACAAAGACAGCATATTATCTCCCTATATACATAAAACTGTAAGGCTGTCATCACACAGCCTCCACTGGAGGATTTGTAGGGCCACATCACAACCCTGGACTTGCAGGAAGTTAAACTGGGGGAAGGGGGACGAGAGCAAAAGAGAAAACAGGTTTTATAATGCCAATTTGAAACTAGTTTGAATAAAGGTAATTGAGAGAGAGGAAGTGGTGGTTTTAAACAATGGCAGAGGTGTGAATAAAGAGTGACACTGAGTGGGGGAAGTGGCAATTTGCAAAAAAAAAAGGTTTGAGTAGAGCGAGAAGGGAGCTGGGAAAGGTTCTGTTGTGCTAGTTTCAAATATTCCATAGCACTTTCCCACAATCATGTATTTCACTCCTGAGGTCCCAGATTCAATGTAGTAGTTTAGAAGAGATATTTTATTAACAAGCAAACACCCATCCACTGAACTCCACCACCCTCCCTAACTGAACAAGCTAACCGACAGGCTCGCTCTCCTATTCATCTTTAAAAATACAGTAATGCATATCAGCATGGGGTGTAAGCAGGCTGCACAATAGGAGTGGGGATAAGGCATGGAAACAGGGTAATCTGTGTGCAAGGGAGAGTCGAGAACAGTAAGAACAAAGGTGGAGAGGAAAGGGGAGGCGAGGAGAAAATGGAAGTGCAAAGGGGCTTGTGGAAAAGGATGGAGGATACAGTAAGAGGATACTGCCCTCGTAACTGGTAAGAAAGTGAGAAGGGTGCTTACTACTTGCAACGTGTGGGAAAAGGAAGATTCAGGAAGTTACTAGGGGGTGAAGGTGGGGTCAAGACAGGGGTGTGGCCTGGGGAGAAGGGTGTGGCTGAGAAGGGGGTATGGACTGGGGAGAGGGGTGTAGCTGAGAAAGGGGTGTGGCCCTGGAAGAGGGGTGTGGCCTAGGGAGAAGGGTGACCATAGTCTAACCGCCCCATAAGCTTCTTGCCTGAAAATCAGGATCCATGCTCAATAAACAAGTTCTCTGGAGGAGCTCCCAAAGAGGCTGTCATAAGAGTCCAGGCAGGGCTGCAGAAGTATGTACATGACACACAGCTATAGGAGATGATGGCCTTCATTAATCTTAAAGAGATCCAGCCATGGTGAAACAAACTCATCCAATCTGTTTTGGAAAACCATTTCTGTGTGTGCATATGTTGGAGGTGACATATGAGGTGTCCAGTTTGGGAAGATGGGACAAATCTTCAAATCAGCTCATGTACAGTTATCTATCCACACACACACACAAACACCAGCAAAACCACCCCCCACTCGAGCTAATGAGGTTTTATCAACCAAAAAGTTGCGGAAAGCAGGAGCCACAAGGCCTGGTGAAGTTGATGTTATCATGGGATAATTGGCAGTGTCAGGAAGCCAGGTGCCTCCACAGCAAAGAAAAATGCAAGCTTATCATCCTCAGAAAGTCAATCAGCAGGTAATGTCCACTGCTTGTATGGTGGGTCAGTGCGTATAGTACCTCCTCCTTCTGCGTGAGTGGTGTCATTTTGGCTTCCTGAGTTGTTGCACCTGCACACCTGATAATTGGACATAGAAGGACTGATTGATGGAAGGAATTTATATCCCCAAAGAAGATGTACTAATCTACTGTACAGAAGTAAAACATACATTTGATTCTCCATCCACTTTTGCATGCCCAGCGCTAGCATACACTCCACAGAAGTTTGCCTAGGAAGGAATGTGGTCCTCAGACTGAAAAGTTTTCCCCAACCCTGCTCTAAACTGAATGTGGCTACAACATTCTGCCTAATTTTTGCATTTGATTATAATGATGTGTAACACTTTGCCCAAGGAAGAGTCCTGGAGAACTCAAAAACCACATCATTATTTTGTGACATTCAGTTTGGTCCTAATAAAAAGCATGGCTCAACTGTGAATTTTGGATCTTTTTGTATGGACCACCCATGGCTACCTCCTGAAGCCGAAATGGGGCTCATAAAACAACTTTTGAAAAGCAAAGCCAGAAGGCAACACACGCCCACTGCCTGCACCTAATTCATATCTTGATGCCTTCCCCCCACCCATCCGTCAACCATCTTTCAGAGAAGTAATCAAGAACTTGCTTGTTCACCAGTCTCCAATGAAGATCCCCTCCACTCCTCCATCTTCTCTGCCTCAGGGTGATGGCTGATTTGCATAATTCAAGATGGCAGTCCTAAAAGGGTCTCACGCTAATCGAATAAGTCATCCCAACAACTTCGGTAATTAGCCGGAACTGCACAGACCTACCTGTCCCTGTCTGCTCCACCTCCATTGCTTCCAATTTCATCCCAGCTGCATCCCACAGGAAGAAAAGTCTCTCCTTCTCAAGCAGAACAGGGCAGGAGGGGAACAAGGAATGTGGGGCACACCACTAAACACAAGACTAGGATGGTGCTACCAACATCACCCTCTACAGATCATCATACACCCCCTCATGAGCCACACACCTTCCCCAACCCTGCTTTGCACCCAGGACTGGCCCACCCATGAAGCAAGGCAAAGTGACTGCCTCTGGCAGCAGGATCCATAGGGGCAGCGGGTTTGACCTCCAAGGAAAGCATCATCTGCTGCTGCCACCATGGTAGCAGCTGCACACTCCTTGCAGGTGGGATCTGCTGCCTACTTGCCCCCTCCCCAATGCCACCTCTGCAGTGGCTTCTCGCCGAATAGAAGGCACTGCTACTATCCTTCCACCCCTAGGGAAATGATGGGGACTGCCTTCTGGGGCCTACACCCATCTGGCTTTGGGATGTGAAACACAGAGCAGACAAGTACAACATTCCTAGAGAGGGATGCTTGTCCAGCCAGTAGATAAACTTCCTCCTTCCTCCTGGGCTGGGACAAACTTCCTCTACATGTGACCAGAGGTGGGCGTGACCTTACCTGTGCAGGTTACAAAATAGCACAGGGCAGGCAGCCATCTCTCTCTCTGACTCCATTCCTCGAAGAAGCAACATCTCCTTAGCCTGAGATGCTCTCTTGGCAGCCAAGAAAGGACAAAGGAACTATCTCCTTATGGGATAGATTCCATGTGTGTATATTTTGTTACTTAAGTCTGCCACCTGGGATCCATCTGTGAACAGAATGTGTGAGTAAACTATTTTATACCATTTATACAAGACTGTGTCGTGTCTATTCTTTTTAGGAGGGAATAAAGGGAAATTACCAGGAAACTTATTTTAGAGGCTTAAGCAATCCTGGCAACAACTTATCCGCTGTGTAAGTTTAAAAGGGAATGTTACTCTGCTGAATTATAGAACTTGCTAACACAAGTTGGGAAGGATATTATTAAACAATATATCCTCTCCTGCCTCCCTGAACATTCTCACACTGGCATGATTCAGAGAGAGCCCCTTCCCCCCTGCAACAGCCTTGGTTCCCAGTTCAGCTGTCCAAAGGGTCATACAGTCCAAGGGTCATACAGTCCAAACCCTGCAATGCAGGAATCTTTTGACCAAGGTGGGGCTCAAACCCATGATCCTGAGATTAAGAATCTCATGGCTTACCAACTGGACCTTCCCTCTTGTTCCTGATGTAGATTTTCACTCCCTGCAACCTTCTTCACGGGTGGGGTGGGAAGCACCATTTTGTGATTTGCCTCAGGTGCCAAAATGTCTTTAGCCAGCCCTGCTTGAAGCCTCCTTGAGTATTTTTGCCTGGCAGAAATGCATCCTTGAATTCTTATGATGCCTCTTGCTTACGTGGCTGAAGGATAGAGACTAACCAACCATACAATGGTAATATTCACATTTGCTGCACTGTCCACTTTTGCCTCTGGCCCCTCTCACCCTTGCCATGTGTCACCCAAAAGTTTGCGCTCTGTCTGAAATGTGGACCTCTGTCTGAAAAAGCTTCCCATTTTCTATGCAACCAAACAATAGTCCTTCCATCCTTCTTTCTGTCCAGGTCCTTCAGCAGATTTGGGGAACCTGTTGCTCTCCAGATGCTGAACAGACTCTCTTGGAAGGTGGTGGATTCTCTTTCATGGGAGGTTTTTAAGCAAAGGCTGGATGACCATCTGCCAGGGATGCTCTCATTGAGATTCCTGCATTGCAGGGGGTTGGACTAGATGACCCTTGGGTACCTTCCAACTCTACAGTTCTATGGTTCTATGGACAGCCAGCATCACCAATTGGCAGGGACAACAGGAGGGCCACAGGTTTTCCACGCCTGGTGTGGAACAACCAAGCATGCAAAACCATTCCTAGGAAGAAACTCAGTTCCCTGATCAAACTTGACAGTGTGGCAGCACCCACTAACTCCAGCAAGGATGCACTGCAAACACTCACTTTTATCATATCTATGGAGGGGAAGGAGCTAGGGGAAAGCTGGTGTACACATACCCATAAAAGGCTGCAATTTAGCTCATAAACTGCAGAGGCAGGCAGAGCAATGAAGAGAATATGAGGTGGAAGCCGGAGCAGAATCTACAATGAAAAGCATTAATAAAAGACGCATTTTGAGCTTGTGCTCTGTTAGAAGCTTACACAGTCTATTAGCAAAACAGCATATTGTATTCCAGGATGCCATATGGTATCTCACTAACTCAGCACATAAATCCCTAATACAATTAGAAGCTCCAATGTCCATGTTGCTTTAGTGCTTCTGAGGTTCCCCGCTTCCATATCTGAAAGAATTTAAGGATTACTTTAAAATACAGGGATGTTTGTAAATACTATAGAGCAGCAAGAAGGAAATGAATATAGGAGCATTCACACAACTAAATAGCTCTTCTTCTTGGTAGAAATGGGCAAATCTGTCAATTTTTGTTCCCTCGGTTACTCGTTTTTCCAACCTTAGATTCAGTTCTCTACCTTTCAGCAACAAACTGTGGTTTAAAAAAAATCCTTTTGAATGTTCTTCAGAATATTTTTGAGAGTTTCCCTTAATAAAACACATTTTTGTATGCAATCTAATTGACTGATACACACATTTTTGCAAGCAATCTTCCTGGATATAATAAATGTTTGTTTGTTTGTTTGTTTGTTTGTTTGTTTTACTAATATAGACATTGACATGCACACATTCACATAATATATGCATTTCAGGAAGAGTGAAGGGCTCTTAGCTCCATGGTGGAACATCTGCTATGCATTCAGAAGGTCCCTGGTTCAATCTCTGGAATCTCTAGGTAGGGTTACGAGAGATCCCTGGTCCTAGAGAACTACTGCCAGTCAGTGTATGAAGTACTGAGCTACATAGGCCAGTGGTATAAGCTAGCTTCCTATTTAAACTACTACTTTCCCCCCCAGAACCATAAGGACTGGAATCCTACATTATTTGTGCTGGGCCTCAGTGTCCGAGCAGAACGATGGGGGTGAAGACACTCCTTCAGGTATACTGGATCGAGGCCATTTAGGGCTTTAAAGGTCAGCACCAACACTTTGAATTGTGCTCAGAAACGTACTGGGAGCCAATGTAGGTCTTTCAGAACTGGTATTATGTGGTCTCGGCAGCCGCTCCCAGTCACCAGTCTAGCTGCCACATTCTGGATTAATTCCAGTTTCCAAGTCACCTTCAAAGGTAGCCCCATGTAGAGCGCATTGCAGTAGTCCAAGCGGGAGATAACTAGAGCATGCACCACTCTGGCAAGACAGTCTATGGGCAGGTAGGGTCTCAGCCTGCGTACCAGATGGAGCTGGTAGAAAGCTGCCCTGGACACAGAACTGACCTGCACCTCCATGGACAGCTGTGGGTCCAAAATGACTCCCAGGCTGCGCACCTAGTCCTTCAAGGGCACAGTTACCCCATTCAGGACCAGGGAGTCCCCCACACCTGCCCACCCCCTGTCCCCCTAGTACAGACTTATACGACATAGCTGCATGCCTGAACTGATCCTGCTAGTACCAGAGAGGGGTGGCGGCAGAGGGAGAAAAAGAGGGAACAAAAGAAAAAGCCTTGTTCTATAAGCACCTGTAGTTTGCAGACCAAGAAACAGGAAGAAAATCAGAATAGCTTTGACCTCAAAGACACATCCTTCTATTTCTTAAGCATCCAGATCAGACCCACAAGGGCAGATAAATTCTGCTTTTTGTTAATCTGTTCAAATCAATGAGAGATCAGTCCAACTGGAAGTGTGGAAAGTGAAGACATTGTAAAAGGAAATACTCCACCCGATCATGTGATATCTCCCCCTCCCCTTCCTTCCGCCTCATGCCAGAGTTTCCCTACTCCTCGCGGCCCAAATCTACAGGGGGGCTAATCCTCCAAACACAACACAGCCACTTCAGATTGGCAGCATTGGGTTCTATTAATGAGACTCGTTGTAGCAGCTGATCGCAGCTTGGCATTAATATGCAAAGTAGAGCGCCAGCCAATTCCGGACAAATCATTTGTTTCCTTAATTGCCCTCCAAGGGCAAAAGTGGGAAAGGGACAATTGAGGAGGGAGAAGGAAAGATAAATGTGTTCCATGTAACCACTTCTTTCCCACTCCTTGGACCAGGAATGGGGTGGCGTGACCGGTGGGGGCTGATTTGTTTTCCCCTTGTACACAATTTCTGCCTCTCCTGGCAGATTTGTGAGAAGGCGCTGAGAGAATCTAGCTCTCCTCCTATAACTACCACCGCTCGTCAATTTCAGAAATGTCCTCCAGAAAGTTTTGTCAGTTTCCATTCGTCAGAGGCTCGCCTGTGCTGGCGCTGCGCTTTCCTTTAAAAGCTCAGGTTGCTTGTCTTTTCCCCTTTGTTTCCAGTCTGCTGAACCAGAGAGGATGGGTGGGTGGGTGAATCTGAGGGGAGGGGAGGGATGACGAGAAACAGAGAAAGGAGTAGGTAGTTGGGGAGAGGGATAGTGATATAAGAAGATCCTGGTGCGTCAGACCAATGGTCCATCTAGTCCAATACCCTGTTCCCACAACAGCCACCCAGATGACCTGCCAACAAGGGCATACCTGGGGGTTGGACAGGCTGGCCCCTGCTAAGGGCAAGAGGGTGCACAGATCATGGCTGGCTACGAGTGGCAAGGTGCCAGCCCACCCATGCACTCCCTGAGCCGCTACTCTGGGTTGTGAGGCAAGGCACCCAAGCTCCTCTAGGCACCTCAGCAGACAAATCTCTTTGGGTACAGGGCACCGATGCAGCCAAGCGCACAAAGGAGCCTAGGTGAAGGGTGGACTCTGATAGTATGGTGTCCTGAGCTGGTTGAAAATTTGGTTGTTTCCCACCACCGACCCTCGCCCTCACGCCATGCTAGGCTTTGGGAAAGAAGCCGCGAGGGTTCCTAGAGTTCTCCCACTTCCTTCCCAAAGCTGGGAAAGTGCTAACCAGGTTTTGGCAAGGAGGCAGGCGGACTCTGAGGCCTCTTGCCTCCTTCTCATAGTAAGCTCACCAAGTGCTTACTAGGTGCCTCCTCCACACATTGCCTAGTGCAGAGGAACCGGTTGTGCTGCCCTAAAACTGCCTCTGCTAGGTATGCCTCTGTCTGCAAGCAGAATCAGAGCACAAGAGTCCTCTCCTCTCCATTGAGCCATCCAGGCTGGTGGCCACCACTGCTTCCTGCAGGAGTGAGTTCCATAGTTTAACTATGCGCTGCATGAAGAAGGACTTCATTTTATTAGTCCGGAATCTTCCGACGTTCAGTTGCATTAGATGTCCACGTATTATAAAGGAGGGAGGAAAACTTCGATCTCTCCACACCTTTTATCATTTTGTAAACTTCTGTCACCTCCTACTTGTGCTTTCTTTACTTGCATATGAACACTGAAGGTCCACTTAGTTAAAGAGAGAGGTGGAAATGTTAATACTGAGGGCCACATTCCCTTCTGGGCAACCTACCCTGGGCCACATGGCAGTGGTGGGTGGGGCCAAAGGCAAAAGTAGGCAGAGCAACAAATGCAAATTTCACTTTTGTATGTCACTGGTTTCTACACGCACTCACACACACCCCACTCTGCCATTCAAAATAAGCTACACTCTTGTGTTTTTTTAAAATCTTCCAAAGGTAACTGCAGCATTCTGCAATAGGTCATGGAGGATAAAGCTATGTATTAAGCTACAAATGGCTACCTGGCTCCTCCAGGATTGGAAGCTGTATTTTTTAACACACAGTGCCTAGTTAAAGTATAGAATTTGCTCCATGAAGCTGCAGGGATGGCCACCAGCTTGCATAACTTTATAAGAAGATTAGATAAACTCATGAAGGGTAATCAGTGGCTACTAGCTAGGATGGCTGCATTCTCATAGGTTTGGAGAGTTGAAAGGGACGTTGAGGGTCATCTAGTCCAACCCCCTGCAATGTAGTAATCTCAACTAAATTCTACAAGGTCTAGAGGGCCACAGATTCCCCACCCCTGCATTAAGAAAATTGGGCATCCTGTCCAACCTACTGCTAATCACCCAAAGATCTGCCAGATCCTAACCTGTTTTCTACCTGCCTCTGTTCCTCACTGACTGGCAGTCATTCTCAGAGTTTTAGACCAGAGGGTTCCCAGTGCTGCCAGAGAAGCTGTGGGTTGAACCAGAACCTTTTGCATGCAAAGCAGATGCTCTTTTACTGAGCTTCAGGTGTTCCACACCTGAC